TATATATATATATGAAGCTAGTGCTCTTTTCCCGTTTTTTCTGACATTACTATTAGCCTAGTAAAGAATTGGTATAAAATAACTGTTATTCCAAAACTGAACTCATAGTCATTGTTCCCTTGTCTATATGAGAAATTCAGACTACGCAGATGGCTATATTATTTTACAGGCAGTGATCATAAGCCACTGTTAAGATTATAATCTGTGCACTAGCATATTTGTGAGTCACGAATATACCAGAGAGAGCGCGCCTCCCCTCTTCCCTGTCAGAGCCCAGCCTCCTGGTCGGAGCAGCTCCTGCCTTAAGCTCAGCTCCACCACCTAGCCGTCCGACCTGCCCCGGCGTGAATTCGGGCTCTGTTACGCCATCGCATCTCTCAGTGGCACACTTCAGCCCCTTTCCCTCGCCAGCCACCACCACAGCTCAATTGCAGGCGAAGATCAGCTGCTCAGGATAGTCTGACTTCTGCTTAAATTAATTCACTCCATGGGGAGAAAGAGCAAGTGCTTTCACGAAGCGGGAGGTGCGGAAAAAGACAGGCTAATGTCACTCAGCACTTGTTTGTGTGTCATCCTGTTAAAAGCCTTGCAGAGTAGATGTTGCATTTATAATATTTTATTTGTCAAGAAATACAGTATTATGGAGTAACTTGGGGCCGAGGAAGGGTGGGCCCGGGTGGGCGTGACTTGCGTTACAGGTGAAGCGAGTGCCAGGTGTGTCCCCGAAGCTCAGAGAGACGCGGGACGGGGGCTGGGCTCTGGTGATTTGGGGGTAAAGATCTCTGTGGCCTGAACGAAAGAGAAGCTGCCTGCACCGTAACTCTATCTCATTTTAATTTTCTCAAAACTAAGAAAGGTGACCTAAAAGTTCAGATTAATACTATCTATCTGGGATTTTCTAATACCTAAGTTTCACAAATAGAGACAGACTTTGTTCAGGGTGAACTAAAATGTTATTTTCTGTGTGACGATTTCTTTGGCATTTTAAAATTAATTTACTGGCTTTCATTTAATAGTAGAATTCTTGAAACATTTATTTATTTGTATGTGCTCAACAGAGTCGTTCATAGCTTCTATTTTCCTGGATTTGTCTCTCCCATACGTGTCCTCCTCTGCCCGTTTATGACACCCGTCAGGCCAGTCTCATCTCGCAGTTTGGTGAGTAGGTGTGTCCCGGGCATCACCTCAGAGACTGGCCCCTTCCCGGCGCTGCTGTTTGCGGGGCCCTGGGAGAGCCGCTCAGCCTGCTGAGCTCCGCCTGGCCCAGTGGACGGGAAAGGCTTCCCGCCTGCCCCCTTACCTCGGGCTCTCTGAGGGCTGGGTAAGGAAGGGAAAGGAGCTGATGCAAGTATTAGGAAGGAGCGTCATTATGCGTTGCTCTTATTATAGCTTATGGTGTTTCCATGCCATTTTTATTTCAGAGTTAGTGTCAGTGAAAGGAGACATATTTTACAAGCAATTGTATTGGCAGTCCATATTCAACATTATTTTGTATTCATATATGTTCCAACACAAAGAAAATGTTATTAGCTGGGTAATGAACATGAGCATGTGTTTGCACTGGGCACTCAGGTGACTGGCAAAATGTCAGCCCTCCCTCCGCAGACGCCAATGCCCGGGTAGAGGGCACCGTCTTCAAGGTCCTAAGAAAAGTGTTCCCCAGGTTGCGATGGCACCTGAAGGGCCTTAACAGTTGTGAGCCTTGCGCTCTGCACCTCCAGGGATGTTGCGTTCTTCGAGGAAAGGAGCAGCAGCGTTAGTTTCACTGTAGTTGCTTAAAATTAGGCCTCTAGGATTTGAATTGTGAGGCAGTATGGGAGGGTGAACTCGTGTTCTAGTTTAGCCACGGTCTCTGTAGTAGAATACTGAAATCTGGCGTATGCCATTTTCATTTGGAATATTTTCTGATATGCTGAACAGGAGATTAGCATTCTAGAAAGAAAGCATTGACTTGCCTCCAGCAAGGTGAAATTGAGATCTTCTTTCCACACGATCCCTGCCTTGCCCAGAATTTTTAAAATGTTACCTACTTTTTAGACCAATTGAAAACTATCCATAAGTTTTCTCTGTGTTTCTGTCCTTTCCTTAAAAAAAGACTGGGGACCGAACAGCACGGAAGAGCATTTGGGTGGTTTAGTGCAGTAGCGACAGGCGGGAAGGTTACGTGAACCCAGAGCCCAGCGATCGGCCGGAGCAGACGCCACTGCGAATGTGTCCCTGTGACAGCCTGCCCACCGCCCAGTGCGGGCGCCGAGCCCACGGTGTCGTGTGCACTTTGATTTCCTCTTTCCCGAGGTGCAAACTAGAAGCTAAAGCTGAAGATTATGTGATACCTGAGGTTACTTAGCCAGAAAAAAAAAAGGCATTTTGAAAGCAAGGTGGGTCCCTGAGTGCCAGCATGTTCCTGGCTTTACCCCTCCCTTGTAAAGTATCCGTTGCTTACCATTTCCTAGGGATTTGGGCCCT